CCGCCCCACCCCAGCCGGCTGCTGAGCTCACCACAGTTCTCAGACTTGGCCCTAGGGCATTTCGGACACAGAGGGGCTGTCCTGTGCGCTGTACCCCACCCTGCCTCTGTAGCATCCCTCCCATCCCCCCCCCACGCCATGACAACCACACCTGTCTCCAGACATTGCCAAGTCACCCCACTTGAGAACCCTGTTCTAGAGGCTCAGTTTCAGGAAAGGTCAAGTCACATTGGGGACAGTGGATAGAATTTGGATATTTCACATCCGACGTGCGTCCCATGGAGCAGCCTCGGGTAGCACCCCACACAGCCAGCTCCCCACCTCCCGAGCTCGGGCAGTCTGCTCTCTGAAGCTCGCACACATGCCCAGCACCACACGGGCGCATTTCCTGGAGTGTCTTGTTCATTCTTCTATCATCTTACATTCTACATCCGATAAATGCTGCAGGCGGAGTTCACGTCCAGTCCCGCGGGCAGCGGTCCTGCCGGCTTTGCTGGCGCCAGTGCCCTGTGCTTCGAGAGAGCAGTGACCATGACCACCTCTGGGGGAATTCTCGGAAGCCTGGGTTTAATGTGGATTTTTCTAGAGAGCACAGCTGCGTGTTTCTGTGAGGCACCTCGGGTAAGAAGTAGTCAAGACCACTGGAGCTTTTGTTGCTGTTTTCAGATGACACGGGGGTGCATGGGGGCCGCGGGCCTGTGTACGGAGGGGCTGTGTGCATGGATGCTCGGGGGGGGGGGGCGGTCATTCTCGCTCTCCTGCTCCTCTCTGGTTAGTGCCAGTGCTCAATCACAAGCCCTGGTCTGCAAGGGGGGTTATTTCCGTCCACCTCGCACTGAGGGTGCCACCCTGCGGGAACCCCACTGGGCAGGTGACTTCCATCCTCTGAGGCCCTCACTGCTGTAAATGGAAGCTGGACACCATTCTTGACTTATAACTGGTTTGTTGTAACTTGTAACTGGTTTTTTGACCAAACGTGGCTCGAAACACACCTTTCAGTACTTATCAGAGTGAATGATGGGGAACCCCATCAACCTGCATAGTTTCTTCTTCCCACTCCTGAATAACAGACAATCATGTTTGTTTTCAGTTTTAAATACTTGATTAAGAAATTAGTATTTCCAGTCCTACGGACTGGCCAGACGCACAGTCTCTTTGCCTGGCTTGAGGCTGTGTCAGGCTGGGAGGCTGCTGGGTTCCTGCTAGGGTCAGAGTGGGAGGGGAGGAGATACAGGGAGAGAACAGACTCACTGGAACTGGTCTGCACACAGGTGGCCTCACTCTGACCCTTTTTCTCATGGAGGGCTGTCTTGTCTTCTTCCGGGGTTACTGCAGCTGGAGACGCCCCCACCTGGTCTGCACGCACTTACAGGACCTAGAATTCTTCCCTCGGCCCTGGGCCTGGTGCTGCACGCTTCTGCTCCAGAAAGCATCTCAGAGACCCCCAGACTTGCCCCTTGATCACATGGCCACACCTGGTCTTTAAGAAACCTTCTTGCATCCTTCCTCCTGCAAGCCCTGTGAACATAGGTCCATTCAGTGAACAGCCCCTCCTGAGCCTCCCCAGAGCAGTGACCATTCCTGCTCTCTAGAACTCAGACCTGAACTGCACCCGCAGCAAATCACAACTCTCACGGTGGGGCTTGAAGCAAAGCAGGTGGCATCCCCCCTACCCGGTCCTTCGTGGGGAGGGAAAGGAAGGGTATGACAGTACAGATTTTGCCAAAGTTACCTTCCTTCCAAAAGCCGTTCTCAAAGAAGGGGGGATTCCAGGGTGGACCAGACCTCAGTTATTGTTTCTGAAATTCTGAAATTATATGCCTCAGGTGTCCTGGGGACTCGAGAGAACTTTAATTTTCATTAATCAATCATGAAACCCCTTTTGTTCTAAATTCTCAGTAACCCTGTTCTTCTATAAGCTGGGACCCCACCTCCTCTGTTTGCCCAGGACAAATGGCTCCTTACCCCCAGGGGTCACCCCAAATACCACCTCCTCCACTTAGGACCGACTTCTGATTTATCTCCGAACACATAGCATTTCCTTACCCGTTTCTTTCGCATTGCATAAAAACTGCATCGTGTTTGTCTATCTGCTTACCTTCTCTTCATGCAGCTGTGAACTTCTGCAGGTCAGGAGCCATGCCACCGTCTTCTTTGTATCCCTAGGGCTGAGGACGGCACCAGGAGGTGTCCGTGACCACTTGTGGGACCAAGGTGAACGCACGTGGCCAGTCCTCACTTAAAGGCAGCAGCAGAGAACGTGACGTCAGGCTTCCCGTGTTCAAGGCAGGGAAAGACTCAAGGTCACCAGGGGGCTGCTGAGCTTGGTCTTCTCTCCAAGCCTCCCCCCCTCCTCCCCACCATCAGGGCACAAGCTCACCCTTCCCCCCCCCACCCCCAGTATTTGGGAGGGATCATCCAGGCCCAGGTGAAAGCAGGCCCTGTTATCTACGCAGGTTTGGTAGTCTGGAGGTATTCATCGTATTAGCACAGGAACTGGTGGTAAATGATTTTTAGAGATTTTGATAGACTTAGTTTACCAGGTTAAAGATAAAGGCAAACACAAATGTTCTAGCAATGAAATTATTTCTACAGTTGAAAATATCAAAGCTTTTTTTTTTACTCTTTTGAGACTCCAAGTTCAATAGAGCAGTTTGGTTGCACTCAAATGTGGGGGATCATGAATGCCCCATAAGACATTTCCTTTCCAATTCTGTTACACCAGGTCAACATGCTCTTGTGGTAAAACACAAGCATTGATCTAGGCCTGCCGGAGGCTTTTGTCCTGACCTGGTACAGTTGGCATATGGTCCCTGGCCCCATCTCCCCCCAGTGAAGCTTGTTAGAACTGGCCCCTTCCTCATCCCAGGGGCTGATGACCAGCCCAGTGTCTGTGGGCCATCAGCTGCTCTCTGCCAGAGCTGCAACATGGCCTAGTCCTGGCCTGTCTTTGCATTTGTTTAGAGCCAAGATGCCTCAAGTGCCCGTGAAGGGGAAGGCTCTAGGGGGTAAGAAGCTGTTTCCTGGAGTAGGGATAATCGCTCTCCAGCAGAACCCTTGAGGGAAGCAGGAACCGGTTTGTTTGTTTGTTTGTCTTTTAAAGATATTTATTTATTTGAGAGAGAGAATGGGAGAGAGAGAGAGAGCATGAGAGGGGGGAGGGTCAGAGGGAGAAGCAGGCTTACCGCCGAGCAGGGAGTCTGATGTGGGACTCGATTCTGGGACTCCAGGATCTCGACCTGAGCCCAAGGCAGTCACTTAACCGACCGAGCCCCCCAGGCACCCCACAGGAACCAGTTTTGACATGCATATTTTCATCTTAGAGATGCACAATGGGGACACAGAACAGGCCAGTGTGCTCAGGCTCTCCAAGCAAGGACGTGGCAGCACCCAGCATCCACTCTAAACTCTGTGCTCACCATTACCCGGCCTGTGGCACCCATTAAACCCCAGAGAGCTTATGTGACCTCACCTCCTGACCCAGATGCAGTGTGAAATGGCCAGTTCTCATTTGGGGCATCTGCCCTCCCTACTCACTTTAGCAAGGATAGCCCTTTACAGGGATTAAATGCAACCTTTGACTTAGCCAAGCGGATGACAGGACACTTGGGATTTTTCACAATCTACCTGGCAAAAGAGCAAATCTTGGCACACAGTACCATATACATGAATGTTTCTGTGCTGACTTTGACCTTATTTTAAACATTGACTCAACACGTGCACATTGCACAAGAGTAAAACGAAGAAGCTGCTGGGAGCTCTGAGCTCAAAGATCTGGAACTGTCTATAGCCCTCCGGTGAGCATTTCTAGGGGAAAAAAAAAAATGTTCCCTTTAAGGCAAATCCCCTCCAGCCCTACAACCAGCAGCCGGCCTCAGAGAGCCCTGACTCAGGACACTGTGCTGGGCCTAGTAAGTCATCCCTTTGGACAATTTTCTATATATGGAGTCGGAGGTCATGGAGAACGGATGTGTCTTTGTTCTCCAAGCACTGCCAACGGAGGTTTCCCCGGGCCGCGTGGGGGTCCGTTCACCCCGGGGAGTGACAGATGGACCCGCAGGTTCGGGCGCCCGGGCTGCGGGGCCCCGGCGGGAAGAGGAGAGGTGCAGAGCGCCCTGCGAAGGCTCACAGAGCCCCTCGGATTTTTTTTCATTTTCCAGAAATGTTTGCTAATTAACAAAAGTTTTGTTCGGCACAGAAGAGCATTATGCCAAACGTGTGTACGTGGCTATTTTAAGGAAAGACACCATAACGACTCCCCCCAGCTAGAACACAGTCCAGCAGGGCAGCGGAGCAGAACAGAGGGCAGGCGCCCGAGCCGCTGGGGCGCCCGCACCGCCTGCGGGGCGCAGCGCAGCCGTCGTCCGCGGGGCTCGTCAGGCCTGCGCCGCCCAGGGCGCCGAGTGGGGGTGTGGGCGGGGGGCGGGGC